GTAAAATGCAAAGTTCGCTTCTTAGTAATTCATAATCTGGTTGTGAGCTTTGATTGATGCGACAGTACGCTAGTTGTAGCGTGTTAGATCAATACATCGTGGTAGTTGATACGAAGTCAACGTGGTATTGCGGGAAACGGTTCGTTGGCAGGATGCTTTACTCCTGTGAATACTCCAATTTACGTGTCCTTTGGTTTCGTTGAGAACGTGTTCTTGCCAGCGTTCTCTGTTCCATCGTGTTGACTCATAAACATGACCCAATCTACTCAGGATACTCTGGTCGTGGGAGGAACTGTAACGCTTTCACTCCCCTCAGTGGCGACTGTCGACTCTGAGTGTTTCTTACCGCAATCCTTGGTGTCTCCTGACCAAAACAGAGTGCATTCAGCATAGGCCATACCGATGTATAGTCCCAGTGTTTGCTGAGGATATCTGTAGGGTTAGTAGATCCAGGATATGATGAAATCTCAAGTACTTGCAGCAACGGCTTCCCTAGTACGTGGTAGGAAAGCGATTGTGTCTTTTGAGAATTTTTGAGTGTGGCATCGAGGCGGTGTTGACTACCTCTCGTTGTCTCCGAACATCATGGTCGGTGTGTCGACCAGTACTCCTAGGTACCTGAACGTGCTCCGTAGGTCAATGATCTGTTCAGTGGCGTACGGGCTGCAACATACTCAGATCCGAACGTTGCGGTCTCGACTGTGACTGTAGCTTGCTGAACCAGTCGATGGGAGTCTTGTTCGCTAGGTGTAGGACTCCGGTAACTGATCGGCCACTGATGAGATCGTGATAGAGTTCGCATCCACATATGTGGTGAGAATGACCCGTTTGCCTCGAGGTACCGGTGCGTTGTGCGGCTGAACTTCTTTGGCACCATGGTAGCATGAGTATTCTCATTCGTACTCTTTCTTGGGAATCGCTGAGTAATCCGGTTCCTCCTTTCGGATACGTATGATGCCGTGTCGCATCTTGGAAAGGTACCCGCAGATTCTCTTGACTCGCTCTAAGTGACCCATTCTTGGTGCTGCACGAAATCTGGACATCGTCATGGTGGCCGTTGCGATATCGAACCTTCCAATTTGGATTGCCCACTGTAGACTACCGATGAGTGACTGATATATCTTTTGTGTGTCCATATCGAGTAGCTCTGTTGTGTCAGTCTCTGGGTGGTCTCCTTTGATGAGTGGAGGGATGAGACTTGTTTGGGCATGTGTCCGAAGATTCGTTGTAGTTGCTGAGTACCTTTCTCAATATATTTGCGAGGTGCGTAACTCAGTACTCCGTTCTCATCACGGAAGAAATCACATCCTAGGTGGAAGCTGATGGCACCGGTTCCCTTTAGTTTTGAACTTGTGCTCCCCTTCCAATGTCGCAATGATCTTGGATGCGTCTTTGCTGACAATAAGGAGGTCTTGCACTCGTCTTGAATAGTTGCAGTTGATCTCGTCGGGTGGTAGCTACCTCTACAAGATCCCTCTATTCAAGTAGTATTTCCCCACGTTAGCAGGTACTTCGTCTTCTTCTGCCTCTCCCGCTGAGAAAGGGCCTTCTCAGCAGTGACACCACGGTCACGACGACCAGGAGACTCAACATCCACGAGGGAGACATCGAAAATACAATCGGTACCTCGATGCCAGAACCCGCAAACTAGGAGGTCACCCCGATCTTGGACAACGGGATCAGAGGGAGTAGGAGCATGGGAAGAATCAGCAGAGTCAATCGGAGCCATAGCTGGGCGACCAAGAGTGATACGGGGTTCGTCGCGGACAGCAGAGGGCATGAAAGCCATGGAAGATAAATCAGCCAGCTCGCGCACAATTTGATTGTGGCGCTGAAGAAGAAGTCCACCGTGGGAGCAGGAAAAGGCATGGTGGAGACCAAACTTTTTCTTGCAGCCATCACAGTGGGGTTGGAGATCCGAAGGAGTCAGTCCATATCGAAGATGGAGAGAATCCCGAAACTCCAGGGGAGAGAGGACGGTGTCATTCTCTGGCATGGGGGTGATGGAGAGCCACGCCCCAGTTGAACAAGCCCGTTGGAGACCCTTACGACGGACTGCAGGGGCAGCAGCCTTGATGGTGGCAAGAGTCTGTTGAGCCTCTTTCACACGAGATGCTTGAGTGTGAGCACGCGTGACGGTCACATGAGCATCGTGGTCAGGTAGACTAAAGGGGCTTGTAGAAGAGCCAGTGAGAGCCGTGGAGATTTGGATCGCCATGGCAACACTGGCTTTGTGTGAAGTGGCAGCTGTGGTAGTGGGATTGGGAATGCCCAGGCCACCGGCTTTGACAGGGAGAGCCGTGAGACGACGTGAAACAGTCAAAGCCGGGAGGGAATCATCGGGAGAAGGAGGATGGAAGAGACGAGGGAGAAACGTCTCGGCCAAGGCAGACTCAAGAGGAGTGAAGGTTTGATATGATGCTCTCCGCCAAAATGTGGCGTTGTTGCGTCGTGTTCCACGATCCAAGTAATCCGAGCCGCCTGCCTCAAAACGGGTAGTTGATGTAAATAAAGGGTTAACTATTAATAGTCAAATTTGGTTTACCGGATCTACCTGCATATATAGATATCGTGCTCACTTGGATCCTGGAACAAGAACGAACAACAAAGATGATGGGAAGCCGAACTTCAGCAATTGAAACTGGATCTCTCGCAAACCCGGCCTCAAACCCATCCATGACAATGCCATTGATGCTGCCAATCTCTACTAGAACAAGAGCTTTCACCACTCTGTTCCCACTCTTGGCTGGTTTCTCAAGTCGAACTATCCATTGCTTCCAATTCTCGGCTGCCCAACATCGTTCACAACAACATCCTACTAGTAGAAGAAGATTCGTGAGGATGAGCGCTTCCAAGCCAAGCAACATGTGGGATGAGCGTTACGGGAAGGAAGAAGAGTTTGCCTATGGAACCGAACCGAACGACTTTTTAAAAGAGACCATCACATCGGCAGGCAGCAGCAATGACAAAAAGAAGAAGTGTCTCTTGTTGGCAGATGGTGAAGGGCGCAATGGTGTGTTCATGGCAGAGCAAGGCTTCAACGTGGTATCGGTGGATTTCTCAGAAACTGGCTTGAAAAAAGCACAAGCATTGGCCAAATCACGCGGAGTGACGATTGAAACGGTGGTGGCCGACTTGGCTTCCTATGATTTGGGCACGGAGCAATGGGATTGCATTGTGGGCATCTTTTGTCATTTGCCACCACCCGTTCGTGCCAAGGTACTGGAGGGCATTCCGGATTCTCTCAAGGAGGGAGGCCAATTTCTTTTGGAATGTTACACTCCGGATCAACTCCAGTACAAAACAGGAGGTCCACCCACGGCCGATTTCATGTTCTCCAAGCAACTGTTGGACGAGGCTTTAGGCACCAAGTTGCAAGTGATTCGCAATGAAGAGGTGGTTCGCACTGTGACAGAAGGCAAGCTCCATACAGGAAAAGCTGCTGTGGTGCAGTTCATCGGAAAGAAATAGCTAGGATACAAGCAAACAGTAGTGCCCGTAAGGCAGTGTCAACTTATCTGCCGTTGATAGTAGCGCAAAAGAGTCTAGTGCAAGCTATGAATGGAAAGGAAGGATTTGCTGTTGTGTCGCCTTTTCCAGCAAAGGCTGAAGGCACCGGTTCTGAAGAGGCGCCTCTCGCTGGCTTGCTAGGGAAAGAGTCCAGGTTGCTACTGTACGGAAGACAGGAGGATGAGATGATGATGTTTCCGTTATAAGCCAACCCGTTCTATTGCGAGTCTTTATGCATTACAGGCAGTCGAAACCAATGCTCCAACAGCCATGCGCTTTGCGTTTGTTTTTGTATGATTGATTGTTTCCCTTTTTGTCTTGTGTAGGTTTCTACTAATGACCTCGGCGGTTCTGTGTGTTGTCGTTTTGTGTTTCGTCAAGATACTTTAGTTAGGGAAAACCACCACCGTCGTTGTTGCTTTCCAGCACACCGAAACCATTGCCAGATCTTCTCCTAGCCACATTGGACAGCGATCCCACAAAACTGGGAAACTGCAGCAGTTCCCAGTAACTTGTTTGATCATCATGAGCTCTCGCATGTTCGCAGACGTGGAATTCAATGACCTCACCGCTCTTGGGGTGATGAGCATTCTTTGTCAGAAGCAAAAGAAGAACGATGACAGCATGGCAAATAGGGTGAGTGTCGTCTGTAAATAAAACACACCCAAAGCAACTGTACATACCGTCAGGCAGTTGTCCAGTGTGTATCCCTGATACTGTCCAATCTCAAATTTGTTCCCTGGTTCCGGCCCGTTGAGAGGAAGAGTACCATTGAGAGCAAAGAACCGTTGTAGGGGGTCCTCTGGGTCACAGTATGGAGCGAGATAAACGTCACTGGCATGTCGGTACAAGCATCGATTGTCCAATGTTTTGATGAGCACTTCAGTGTGATCGTCGCTTCCACTGTACGTGGACCCCAAGTTTTCAAAGGTGAACCATTGTCGTTCATCTCCCAACAAGCATTTGCCAATGTAGAGTTGGGAGGCAGTACAGTTGCTTTCTTCCAGTCCATACCAGCATACTCTATCATGAATCCGTCCATGTCAACATCACCACCACCAATGCAATGCAATGCAACCGATCGGGTCAGTTATCAGGCATCAATCTGCCAAAAAGTCCCCACATGCACGCATCGATCCATGCAATGGCTGCATTTTCAGTAAGCCACTCACCCACTCCCCGGATACCCATCAAAGTTACTGATCATGCACCACTCTCGGTCCAAGGTTTCATTCTGCCAATAATATCCTTCTTCCCAGTAGAGCTTGATATGAAAGGCACCTACTGGGAGCTGTGGCAGAGATGCTGGTTGGGGGAGGCTGGTATTCCAAGCACACACATCATAGCCTATAGCTTGGAATTCTCCACCATCACAAAACGGAACTGGATCATTGGCGGCTCTATCGTAACAATACAATCCCTCGGCACAGTCCTCTGTCATGCCAGTCATGATACATAAGGACATGACTAGTAGTGAGAATGCAATAGCAAAACGATCGAACCGGATACCCAGCAAGTAGACAGACAAACAACACACATACCGTCCGAGTCACAATCTCCCATACAGGCTAATCATTGTCAAAAGTAGAGGTTTGGAGAAGAAATAAAGACGTGTCAGACCATAAAACGGTTCCAAACCAAACTAGCTTGTGACCAATAATATTATATATAAATCAAGAATCCAAACACTTACGTCCCATGGGATATCGAGAATAAAAGACACCGTTGTTTCCCACATATCTCACTGATCCCAACGAGGTGGGTATAACAACAGTAACAGTACTCCCACCATCTGCCCGATCTCCGTCGCGATCTACCGAGCCAAATGCTCCCAATTGGCGACCTACTAGACGGTTGGGCTCGGTGCTTTTGTTGTGGTTGGACACCCGATGTTCCGATACCAAAAGCAACATGGCTCCTGCCACCAACAAGAAGAGGGCCAACGCCGTGAAAGCTCTCCTACTTCTAAACTCCTTCATGGCTTGTTGCTCCTACTTGACGTGTGAGACTACTAATAATACAGTACAGTACGGTACGATTGGCACTTGCAATAATCCTCCAAGAAAGTGCCGATGGAAGAAATAATGATCCGAGAAAATAAATAAATGCCGGGAAGATCTATCTGCTTGGTTGGAATCCCAGAAAAGCCGTCACTGCTCGGTGGGAGGAATCCAAAAATAATGGAATGCCATCGAATCTTCCAAACTCGTCGCCAATGATGATTGAAAGAATTAAGCCTGCGTGATGTATTTGCTCTGAGTACCAGTGGCACCGCCCACCCTGGTGAATTCCGTTACGCGTTCGGAACCATCGAGCCGCTCAACGGGCCACTTTCAAACAACCATTGCGAAATTTTGCTCCGACGACGGCTTCTTGTCTATCTATCCATCCACCCAAATACAGTTTCGTTTCGTTGCTGCTTTATTAGCCAAGAAGAAATATCAAGATGGTAAGAATGTGGGGTGGAGTTGTGAACACATAGATGAAGGATCTGGTGTGGATGGAAGTGTCTTGTCGTTTTTGGGTCCAATGATGTTTCGGTGGTGATGGGTTGGTTCGTGGTCTCGCCTCCACGGTGCCGTGGCTCTTTGTTGGTTGGAACTGATGGATAGATCTCTCTTTCTGTCTGTTGTGTGCTCACTGTGTATCTTTTACTGCTCTCTGATTCTATGATACGACAACAACAATCATCACTATCATTATACGACAACAAATCCATCTACCTACACTATCCACATCATTTACATCCATACACCCTTACTATTAGACGGACATTCAATACTGGGATGACACGCTGACGGAAGAATGTGAAGAGATTCAGAAACTGATTGATCGCGTGCAATCGATGGGCGATGGCAAGAGTGCCGTCTTTGACAAAATCGAAAAACACATTCGAGGTGCCCAAGGCACCAAACGCAGTTTCAAAATGGAAACACGGTTGGTAGCGGATGTCGCCGATCGTCGCAAAATGGAAGCGCGGCTCCAAAATTTGGATCAAAAACTCAATGCACTCTCTGCCGATTGCAAGGCACTGCGACAAGAACACGAACGGGGTGAATTGTTTGATGGTGGAGGAGGAGAAGTGGATGTCGATGCCATTAACGAAGACGACGCCGTCAAAGGAGGTGACAATATGTTGAAGGAAACGGAAAATATACAAAACAAGACACAAGATTCACTATCCAACACCAAACAAATGATTGCCGCATCCAAAGAAGTGGGCATGGCGACATTGGAAGAATTGGAACGACAACGCGATGTTTTGAATAATATCGAAAAGGAAGTCGATCGCGTCGATGACAATCTGGCGCGAGCGGAAGCACTCATGAAACAATTTGGAAAACGCATGGCATCGGACAAGTTTATTCAATGTTTTGCCGTACTCAATTGTCTCCTTCTAGGAGGTGTCATTGTCTATGCCGTGGTCAAAGGAGGTGGATTGCCAGGGTCGGAACAAGTATCTCCCACCAATCCACTCGATAGTGGTACTCCAGCAGCAGAAGAAGGAACTCGATTGTTGTTTTTGCGTCATTAGAGAATTATATCATACCTCTGTGAAAAAGAGATTTGAGTTCTTGTGGGTGCTTGGAAGGAATTCAGTTCAAATGCAATGCATACATATCTATAATCTACGTTGTATCACGGGATCTTTTGGAACGATTGCCTAGCTTGTCATTTTGCATCGTACTTGAGGTTTCTTCTCGGACGAGGTGACGTGACAAAGTTGCCGGTGGTATCACTAGCTAATGCTAAACATGGGGAGACTTTATTAGCTACTAGAGCTGACTCGGAGTCCTGTTGTAACCAACCAAAACTCGGTGGAAGAGCCCCGCCAGCACCAACAAACCAGAAGAGCCAACAAGAGTGCTGTTTGTTGAGATTTGAAAAAGATTGATTAGGTACATCATGTTCTACTGTTGGAGGACCAATGAGATCCTCGCTGCTCGGAAGCCAAAGATGTTGGGAAAGTGGTGATACAAGACTTGGAGAGTTTTGCCTGCTTTCGTTCATTGATTGTTTGATGATAATATCTATAAGCTACTTGTTGGAAAAGTAAGTTATTGTTAGAAGTTCTAAGTGTTGATTATGATCCTGCCGGAGGATCCACAAGATTCTCGTGCTCCTTGCAATCCAAAGATGTTTTGAAGGCCGATACTGGGCTTTGCACCTATTTTCGTTTATTGATTGTTTAATGATAGTTATTTGTTGGTTGATTATTATTACGAAATTCGTAATTGCTCCGCCGCCACGGTCTTCAATGCGTCTTTGAATTTGCTTCCCATTTCCTTCTTGACAGCTTCCAGGACATCCGCTTCTGTGTCGGCTGTCGCTGCCGCTTTTTTTCGCATCCCATCGACGACTTGTTGATACAATTCTTGTTCGATTCCCAATTCTACCAATACCGCATTGAGTCGATCCAATACGGGTGCCGCATCGGCACCACCGGCTGCTTGGGCTTTGTTAAAGTCGTCAATCGATTTCAATTTAATGGCTTCTCCCGCCGCTTGACGCAAATCGGTGCCACCCAGAAATTGTTTTTGTTCCGTGTCCTCTTTAATATCGGTACAAACACCCGTTTGACAGCCGGGAATGTTTTGAAAATCGTCCCAGTCGTACGCTTTCTTGTTGGGACAGCACGACCAGAATTTGGCCGTTTCGTGAAAGACGGGTGGAGCACTGTGGTATTGGCATTTCGGATAAGGACCACCGGGAGGGAACCGCTGTTTGCAGCCAAAATGGGTACACGCCGCCAAATTTTTGTCCGTGTCAGCCTCGAGTTTGGCTTTTTGAGCGGCTTCTTTTTGATCCGACAGGGTTTGCGATGGGCCGTGGACCACGTACAAATCGGCACGGTCGGGAATCACATCCAAAACTACGGCATCCGATGCCAAATCCACCAATTCCGTTGTTGTACTGGTACTGCTGGAAGTGCTGCGAATGCTCAAGTGCAATTGGGATTCCTCCAAGGGATTGCCCTCTTTGAAAGTCTCATTGCCCATGTACGTCTCCACAAATTGACCCAAGAGCTTGGAAGTAGGACCCGTCTTCCAAGATTTTGGAAGCGTAATCTTCAAGGACTTGTGATAGTCACTGTTCTCATGGTCTTCGTAGTGCATCAACACCTTCATGGTTAGTTACAATTGTCTTGATTATCAGAGTGGTAAATGGATATAGAGAGAGCAGCCGTTGCTGCTCTTATTGTTGGCTTTTTGGTTTTTGCGGTGGCAATAAAGTGAGTGGTTGCAGTGATGCCGTGGCGGCGGCAGTCGGATCTTGGATCTTTTTCACGAAGCCTTTCGAAGAAGATCGAAGTTTTGGTTTCGAGTCAAGTCACGTTTGCGAAATCACGGGGTTCAACAACAAGTGCCTAGTTTTTCCCCACGAAGATCTACGTCTGCACAGAAAGAGCTATGTAGGTGTTGTTGTTCTGAAACAATAATGGACCCTGGGTGGGGAGTCCAAGGGACAGCCTTTCTTGGATATTGGTTGGCACCTACTACTAGTATCAGGCCAAGGAAGAAAAAGATTGATGCAATCCTTCAACTTGAGACGCCCAAAGATGTCAAAGAACTTTGTTGCTTCCTTGGAGATGTCTCCTTTTACAGAGACAGATTCCCACAGTGCCATCCTTTCCTAGCTCCATTGTACAACCTGACATCAACAAAAACAAACTCTTTTGCTTGGACTACAGAATGCCAACATGCCTTTGATGTCATCAAGGGCGTCTTGGCTCGGGATTCTTTGTTTGTCCACCACAATGCCCCGTTTCTTGTCTTCCAAGCAGATGCTAGAGCTAGGGAGACACAATGTGGTGCTGTCATTGTTGTGCCAAAAGGCAAGAAGCATTGCAGAAAAGACCTACCTCCAAGAATGTGGCTGCTGTTGCAGGGGAGTGCTCTCGTCCTCGGCCCCACAAGAATGGTATCGGCAACCCTTCCCCTCTGGCTGGAATGGTCTATTCTCATGAGAATGAGGAGAAAACGGTGAGTTTTGTACCTGTTGAGAGGCCACTGACAAACTGCAAGCAGAATCTCAATAACAAATTCAAATTCTTGCTTGCTGGACCTCTCCAGAATGAAGCCATGGTCAATGGATCTCTATCAAGCAGGAATTCATAGGATTAACAAAGTCGCACAGACGCGCCAAATTCAGTTCACACATTGCACAGACGCGCCAATGTTACGACCGAATCAATCTAGGAGAAAACATCTAGATGGAATGACCAAACTTTGCAGTGAGTGTCAACTGGTAGACCCCATCATGAACAAACGGTGAGTTTTGTACCTGTTGAAAGTCCAATGACAAACTGCAAGCAGAAACTCAATAGCAATGAAAGGAGCTTTGTACTTGTTGTTTCTGTTTCCTAACTTGCTTCTTTTCAATCAGTTTCTTTGCGGATGATGTCCAGGACGTCCAATCTGCATGCAACGCAACAGCTGCACAGCACTGGCAGCTCAAGGTACATCTGGTTTCACACTATGGTGTGCTTTCCCTTACTTCCTTTTGATACAATGAATGCGATGCATGACAGAGTAAAGCGACAATCCACCTGAGCTAGATCCTCACTTTAAAAGGGGACCGAATGACATCAAGGGAAAGTCGCATTGGCGTTACATTTCAAAGTTACTTCTGCATGGGCATGTCAAATGACATATCTTCCTCTATCATCAATGGTCAATTGTCCGGTGAATTGGGAATGAAAGTTGAATTTTTAGTCGAAGAGACAGTTACACCAAGACTTAACTATTGTAAACCACATTCCAATGTTAAGTTGTTGAATGTAGTGGCATCAAATGGTGTCAAATACCTCTCTAGCCTCTATAACTTAGATCACTCTTTTGACTTGGAACCTCCCACCCAATGAAAGCATACCTCCTCGGTAAAACCCCTCATAGCATATACTTTTGTGTCCAACTCCCCCACTATGTCGAGTAGCTAGCTCCACATCAACCTCTGTTTGGAGAATGGGCACCACAGGACAAATCAGCAAAGGAAAAATGGAAGTTGGAAGGAACAAACCCATCATACATCTCCAATTCTCATAATGGGGCCATTGCACAAGAACCAACTGTTGGCTCCAAACAATGTGGGACCATCCATTTCTGGCGAAGGAAGTTTTCTCATGTGTGTGTTAGCTACAGCAGGCTACAAATAAATGAGATCTGTTACGACAACTAATGTAACGTGTTCTGACGTTAGCCGACATCCTGTCTTCCAACCACAAGCACTAGCTAGGGGAGAAGTTACAGTGCAATCAGAATCAATTGTTTGTGCCGTTCATTGTCTCCTCCTGATGGTCATCTTGTAATGGTTGCCTGCGCATGCACGTACAAGTCTCTGCGGCATCACGGAAGGTGTGATAGCAACTATCGTCCGACAGCATCATGATCACTGTCTGAACGACTCGTTGGGGCAGAAGAGGATCATTGTTGCACTATGCCTGTAGTTGCTCCAGCTGCCGAAATCCTGCATCCGCTTGATTGCATCGCTGACCTTTGAAACATTGAAGCGGGGACATCTTCCGATAGGCCCGACTTACTTGGGTGATCTCCATTTTAATACCGTCATGTTTGGCACTTGGTGGATGTACGGTACGGTTCAAGGAGCTCGGTGCAGGATTTTTTTTGCAAAAACGATTCAGGCTAGAAGTGGCTTTATTATTTGATGCATATGCAGAAGCTGGACCATCCTTCTTCGCCCTGGCCCACGCTGTTCAGTCTTCTTGCTTGTGCATCTTCCTCCGCATCCGTTCCTCTCCCTCAAGTTGCTCTGTCCTGTCGGAGGCACCGGTCCTTCAGGTTTCTTCCGTCGCACTCGTAACTTGTGCTGACTCGACTCGGAGGCATTCCTCTTTTGGGTTGTGAGGGGCTTTTGCAGCCTTGCTGGTTGTTTCTACTCCCGGAAAAGCAGCTGTTTCGAAGACACAAGCTCAAGGGAAAAGCAGCTGCTTTCTTCTTTTTGAATTCGTCTCGTCGATTGCTGCTTGATGGGTGATGGGTGACAGCTTGGTTGGTATTTACTGTTTATTCCTTACTGCCATGAGGTCAGTAAAAGGAGCAGTAATGGCAGTAATGCAGTAATTCCTCAGTAGCAGTAATCATACACAGTAATTTAGAGCCAATTGAAGGCAGTAAACTACAGTAAATGCAGTAATATAGGCTAATTACTGTGATTTTACTGTGATTTACTGGATATTCCTGTTGCATAGGCAGATTACTTACTGCATGGGATTACTTACTGCAGTAACTAGGGGGCCAACAATGGCAGTAATTGGACAGTAAGGAGCCAGTAACCCGGATTTACTGCAGTAAATACCAACCAAGGGTGACAGAAGCATCATCACGGCACAGAACATATATTATTTCCTCGACTTTATCTTCTACCGGTACAGGTATCTGGATTCACCATGATAATGAATACCCTTCTATCGGCAATCGTCGTTGCGATGATTCTGTTGTTGGCAGCGCCCTTTGGATCTTCTGCCTTTGCTCCAGAGAGAACCATCCATGGCATTGGTCTGAATTGGGACGAGCATTGGAATTTGCGGTATGGACGCCTCAAGGCCGAGTTTGCCTTTACCGGCAAAAAGACGATTGCCTATGACGAGAACCCCAAGCTGTGGTTGTGGTTGCACATCCAACAGGAAAACTTGAGGCGAGGCGTCATGCGTTACGATCGACGCCAAAAGTTGGCTGAATTGGGTTTTACCACGGAAGATTCTCCCACTGGTACTTCTAGTGCACAAGCAGATCAGGCAATGAAAGAGCAGTTCTTCCCTCCCACACCTCCGCCTGTTAGTCTCCAAAGCAAGAAGGATTTCTTCACTTTGGAGAAGCAACTCCCTCCCAAGCCCCCTGCGGTTGTTCCTCCCAATCCACTTGGTCCATAGAACCTGTGTGCGAGTCGAGTCGAGTCGAGTCGAGTCCGGGATGGAACATCCTTTAGATTTAGAATGAGAACGATCCTTACCGGTATGGTTGGATCAGTACCGTACTGTAAACGTTTTGTGGTAGAAATTGCTGTGTTTCCTTGAGACAACTATCATAACTCAGCTTCTCGTCCTGGAGAGGATGTTGTTCCCTTGGGATGGATGTCCCAGCCCCTAGATGAAGCTCCTTTATACACTTGACCTTTTACTACACGGACTAGCTATTAATAGCAAAGTTGAAGCAACCAATCCATGGAACGAAGAGTCAGTCTCCACTTTGAATGACTTTTCCAATCTGGCTCGAAAGAAAAAGTCGCCATCCGTTCCTGCCTACCTCCATCGAACGAAACAATACCCTGATCGCCTCCACGCGCACACGTACATGTACTGCCTGAAGCATTGAATGAATCGAATCGGAAGTTTCCCCTGGGCTCGTGCTGTTGGGAAGTTTCATTGTTTTCACATCTTGCTCCTGGTGATCTCTCCCGCAACTGACATGGCCATGGGCGAGCTCCGAAGCTAGTGGCGGCAGATAAGTGGAGTTCCGCGCACCCCCACTATCGTTTTCATCTCTCTGCTGGCTTGAGTCCACTTCAAGTTGGGTGCTTTTGCGAAGTGTGACCGGTACCGGTAGTCATGTAATGTACAGCAATCTCTACAGTGGTACCACCAGGCAGCAATGCGATCTCTTCCCCAGTTGTTGCACAGCACGTCAGCCACATCCTTCTTGGCCACCAGCAATAAGCAAAAGCTACATCGGCTGATGGATTTCTGAGCAACGGAAAGATCACATTTCCTTACTGTTGAGATCATAACCAAAGATTCAACCATGTCCATGAGCACCATGGATGGAAGCCACTGCCTCCTTGACGAAAGTAAAACTACTGGTTTATCGTACAAGGATCGATACCTGGCGGATTTGGTGTCCCTGGATATCCCGCAAGAAATCATGAAGAAAGCAACGGCCAAGCGACCGCGGGATACCTCGACGAGTGACAGTCCTACCGGTAGTACTAGTACCGCTAGTAGTGCGACCAAGAAGAAGAAGAAGCCACGGATCCGGTTGGCCATTTTGGATGACGACGATGAGGTGGTTCATTCTACAACAACATCTACTGAATGTGTTGGTAGTCCATTGAATGACTTGCGTCGTTCCTGTCCGGAAGTGATGTGTCATATTTACGCCTATTTGCCCTTGATGGATCGATTCCAATTGCGTCATGTGGATGCCTTTTGGTGGAACGACCAGACGGCACTGTTTTGTCAAGCACCCGTGGGAGTCTATGGGCACCACAATTGGGAACTCCAAGAAGCGTGGGCGTATGCCAAACGCTACCTGGAATTCGATGGGACCAATCCACTCAGTACCAAACTCTACAATCCATCCACGCCGTTGTGGGCTCAGTGGCAAAAGATACCCCGCATTTGTGTCACCCCACAAGGCATGGCACGATTTTATAGTAGCAAGACACAACAGTACGATATTGACGTCCACCATGGCAAAACGTATCAAGAATTGGCCAATCTCATTGCCCAAGGCACATTTGCCCATCTCAAGGCAACCAAAGATTATCGAACCAATCTGGAAAAGGAAATTCAAACAGTCAATAGAGTCTGTCGAAACAAACACAAAGACATGCAAAAAGTCGAGCGCCACATTCTACACGCCAACACAACGTCCAATGGATTCGCCATGCTATTCCGTTTGTTTCAACAACACAAACGCTTGACCATCTACACGACACCCTTTTTCAGAACCACCGAACGTCGTTATCACGATTTGGCCAAACAAAAACGATTTCCCTATCAATTCATTGTTACTAACAACGACAATCAAAAAGAAGAAAAGATTTCCCTCCAATCACTCCGTCCCGGTGTCAAACTCTGTTGGAAACACCCCGACACTGGCACTGTCACGCGCCAATTCCTCAAACAATGCGAACGATGTCACAAATGGACCGATACCGTGCGAGCGGAAACCTGTGGCAAGATTTCCCATTGTCATTATCGAACCGATGTCTGTGCCAAATGTACTACCAAACGAACCTGCGTGGCGTGTGGCACCGATCACTGTGGCATTTGCAGTCGGCACGCCATTGTGACGTGCGCTTCACCAAAGTGTCGCCATACCCTGTGCAGTTTGGAATCTTCGTCAACAACAGCATGTGGATATGTCATGCCGCTGCCCAGTCACTTTGAGACGCAAGCCGACTATTGGGAATGGTTGGTCGCCGAGCACCGGGCTCCGAGAAGAACCAGTCACGTCTATTGTCCGCACCACAAACCGGACGGAGCGTTGCCCCTTCCACCCAAGGCGGTCGCACTGGAACGTCAGCGACGAGGGGAACCCATCTTTGTTACCACCGAGAACACCGAAACAAACGACTAACGTCGTGCTCTAGTATCGATAGTAGTGCGCTTTCGACAAACATCAGAATGAGACAGCCACGATGCGACGCCACGAATGATGACGCAAGGTGCACGATGACAACCAACAACGAATAGGAGCGAAAGAACAGTCATGGCATTCATCAATATCATGGTAGCTGCTCTGATACGCACCGAAGTTGCTAGCTAGCTAGCTAGCGATCTACTAGAATACGCTATAAACAAAAAGAAAAAGACAACATGGAAACAGTACGATTGCTTGCAGCAAACATCTATTATGTGGCCATGGAACTCATGCAAATGATGAACGAGAAAAAAACACAAAACGCGAAAGCGGCCGTGACACCAGAAAAAGCCATCCGACCGGAACTGGAAGGATTCGATTCAGCCACCGTGGACAATGAACTCCCAATGGATGTCGAGTTCGAATCGTAGAGATCTCTGACACTCACAGGTTGCATGACAAGCTACCGTGCGTCCTCCACCGGGTGACGTGCTCGTCCATTGTGGGTATGTATTTCATTTCAAAGCCCTTCCAGCACCAACAGACTAGGAGTACGGTACCGGCGATGTAAAAGAACGGTGACAGCGCCATTGTGGTGGCGAGGACAAATAAATGATCGAAAATTTACAGTGAAAACGATAAAAATTGCATGATTCAATCACTTTTTAGAAATTCCTCGAAAACGGTGCTGTTGTTAGCGTACTAGCTAGCTAGCTAGATGGTACCTGGTACCAGCTAGTAGCTTCCAGTGTTTAGCTGGGAGAAGCAGAGAAGGTGGCTCTCGGTTCAGCCACAAAGCTTATATTTATCTTGTCTTCTAGCTAAATTCATTCTAGATGACTCGACTCAACTCAGGTACATGATGTACAGTATCAAGGACACAGAAGCTTGCACGACTCCTTCATCAAGGTTGCCTACCTAGAGGAATAGACCAGATTGATGAACCCATCACTCTGGCCTGAGCAGGCAAATATTGTGGCGCTCACCTGTGGGGTGACATCCATTATGAAACTGACAGTGCCAGTTGCTACCCAAGTGTTGAATGTGGCCTGTGCCACAACAAAATCAGTCTGATCATAAGCTGTACCACATTCAGTATCTCCACCATTGTTTTGACCCAAGGAGTTTCCATCTTGGTCAATTACATCATACGACTCAATGGCGGCATCCACATCACCCCGGACAAAAGTTTGCACAGTCACATCACTGGTGGCAGGTACCAGTGAATTAAAACAAAAATAAATTTCTCCCTTTGGAAGGATATAGAAAGAGCTACTGTTGGAATCCAATCAGACCACAAGCAATGCAGGTGTTTACACGTAGCTCACTTACCCCAGATATTGTTAGTGGGTTCACATTTGAAGTTGTAGTACTGGATAAACAAGGCAAGGTAGGAGCCTCACTGAGGCTTGGATTCTGGCTGACGCTTGGTGTTGAACTTGGAAACTGGCTTAAGCTTGGATTCTGGCTGAGGCTTGGTGATGAACTTGGAAACTGGCTGAGGCTTGGATTCTGGCTGACACTTGGTGTCATGCTTGGACCCTCACTTGGTGTCAAACTTGGTGTCTGGCTGAGGCTTGGAGGGCTACTTGGACCCTCACTTGGTGTTGAACTTGGGAACTTGGACCTGGCTGAGGCTTGGAGGCTACTTGGACCATCACTTGGTGTTGAACTTGGACCCTGGCTGAGGCTTGGTGGGCTACTTGGACCCTCACTTGGTGTTGAACTTGGACCCTGGCTGAGGCTTGGAGGGCTACTTGGACCATCACTTGGCCACCACCATTTGCGGTGTGACGCATCGCACGACAGATTGTTGTTCCTTGCCATGATTGTCATCATCACGGTCGTCCGATTGTGAAACGGTGCTGCGTTCTCGAGCTATGCGTGGAGAGAATTGGGGAGTGTTGTTTGATGGAACTGGGAGGAGAGTTTACAAAGTGCTGGACTTCTTTGGGTCCATGTTCTACCCGGAAGACGTTTCGGTTTCGGCTTTCGGTACCTCCATGGCACTGTACCTCAGCATCCGCCCGTCCCCAGAGGATACCATATTGTATGTGGTAGCCTCCAAGTTGGCTGGTTTCCCTTGTGGCCAGCAGTAGCGACTCTCGAGCGAGTAGATTGGGAGCTACCAATTCAAAGATTCCCTTGTCGGGCAACCGCACTGGTCTACATGCATGTACGGTAGATCACAGGATCGGAACCATCGGTTCTGCATTTACTACTGTACCGTATGCAAGTGCATTGGCGATATATGTACCAGCCACTGTTCAAACCATTCGGAGAAAGGGCACATCCGTTCTTTGGGCCAAGGAAACAGGATCCAAGCAACCGATCCCAAGTTCCATCCAATGGAACACAGCTCTTTTCAAGTTTCATCTCCTTCTACTTGTTGTCTTTTTTACTCTACTCTCTAGTAGTAGCTAGGCAGCACCATCCAGTCTAGCCAGAGAAATTGAATCAAATCCCATTCATGGATTCTTGAAATGTATCTTGCCAAAAAACCATCAAGCAAGAAGGTTGCAATGCAACCTGTCTCTCTTCTTACAGTACCAGTACCACTCTCACTCAAGCTCTGCTCTCCCCATCGTGGCAGTATCTGGGAAGATTTCCTTTTTCACCGCCTTCAATGTCCAAGGTAATCAGTAACGCCTTCCTTTAGGGTAGTCATGAATGGTTCCATATGCCCAACAGCTTCGTCGCCTGGGTAATGACTGATTCCGGTATCACTTCCTCCAATCCAACCCTCTGATGGACTCTTCATGACAAGCTGAGGACGAAAGTGTCCACCCACAGACTTGGGAAGACGCTGCTTCCTCAAGGGTTCTGGGAGCCCTTTGAATTCGAATTTCTGTCCTTCCGCAATACCAATATCCTTGAATCCAGCGGGGACCTTGCTGGCGACGGGAGTAGCAACTGCCTGGATCTCGCTGGTTGGCTTGATGCTGCCCTGGGGCACGCTTCCCTTGGGAGCAACACTCATCAAAGGGGCTGGAGGACGATTGTCAGGCCATTGACGAACATCCTTCCAGGGGGCAATGGTAACATCATCACCAGCTGCAGATTCACCATAATCACTTGCAGGGCTGCGCTCCAATGCCTGTGGATCGGGATAAGGGGATGCCAGACGGGCTGTGCTTCCACAGGAACGCAGACCTGAATCAGACACAAAGGCAGTGGCAGCTGGGGCCAAAACAAGGGCCAAAGTGGTCAGCAAGGAGGCTATCATGGTCATCTTTCAACACAGAACAGATCGTTGTTGTTGTGGGCTCCGTCGTGCTTTCAGAAATCATTGACGCCTCGAATGTTTGCTTGCATGACGTTGCCCGTGCCATTTTTCTCACGGGATTGCATTGAGACACCATCATTCTCGAACTTCATTTGCACCGTTGAACTGTCCCCTGCTACCGCTGGGTGTTCCGGCCATCATCTGAATCGAATCGAATCAAATCTTGATCCGGATAGATAGCCATGGTCAGCACCCATACTTGGGAGAATCTCACGGGAACCAGTTGCATTCATCTCTCTGCTTCCAGCGTCCAGCAAACAACAACATGAAGTCTGAAGCAGCCAATCACCACCAGGGAATATTTTCTTGTTTTCTTGCTAGCTAGCTAGGAAGGTTGCTTCAGTCCCAGCCAGCCACGCATCAGATGACGGATGCGTGCATGCTAGGATGGATGGAACAACTATTTGTGTTGGTATCTGGCTTGCAACACTGTCTGAGAATCTAGATAAAGCTGGATAGCCAGCACCCATTCCTTCATTGTTTGGGGAAGCTCACGGCATCCAGCTAGTTCCATTCATCACGCACTCTGCCTGCTTGGTTCCAGCTTCTGACAAACAACCAGATGATACTGTCCTTTGCTTGCAGCCAGCAAGGGAGAGGCACCAATGTTGAAAGAACAAGTCTGAAGCAACACCACTGGGCAAGATTGGCTTGTCTTCTTGATAGGTACGCTCAACTCACTGCTCAACCCCAGCCAGGCATGCATCTCAATTGACGGATGCATGCTTGCTTGGACGGCGAGAGCAACTAGTTACGGTGGTATCTGTTCTGCAACACTGATGAGATACCATTGTGGACGTATCCGTCAAATGCATGCACACAGATGAGGTACGCCTCACCCACAGAAACTGACTTCATCGGAGCAAGTTTTTCAAATCCTCCAAGCATAGAGTGGCCCAAGTTCATTTTGAGTTTCTGCGACTTATACATTCTTTTTATTCTGTACAGTATTGGAGAAACCCAACATCTTCTTATGCATTCATACAAAATCAACTGCTACAAACCATCAAGCAAGGGGTTGCTTCAACATCACAGCAGATCCTTTCACTCTTCTCATTCGTTCTCTGTAGAACTCTCTCTCTCTCTCTCTCTCCACGTCTCCCTCTCATGGACTTACCTTTTGGAATTGCTTTTTTTGTTTAATGTCCAATGTAATCCATGACTCCTTCTTTTAAACGTGTCTCCCTCTCATGAGCTCTCAGGCATTGCCTTCGAACTCTCCTTCTATCTAATGTCCAAGGTAATCCATGACACCTTCCTGAAGGGTTGTACAGAAAGGTTCCATGTGCCCCACACCAGCTTCTCCTCGCAAAAGGGTAACTCCAAGATCACTGCCTCCAATGTAGCCTTCGCTACTCTCCATCACACGGGCAGGACGAAAGTGGCCACCTTGATTCTTGGGAAGGCGTGGTTTCTTCAGTGGGACGGGGACTTTGTATTCGAATTTCTCAGCTGGAACTGTGCTGGTGACTGGCTTCACACCTTGGGTCATGCCGCCCCTGGGAGCAACACTCATTGCAGGGGCTGGAGGCCGATTGTCAGGCCATGCGTTCACATCCTTCCATGGGGCAATGGAAGGTCCAACAGCTGTGGGATCACCATATTTGCTGGCAGGGCTGCTTTCCAGGGACTGAGGATCAGGATAAGGGTGGGCCAGCCGGACAGTGCTTCGGTTTGGGCTTTTCACTGGGGCAAAGGCATCAGCGGCCGAAGCAGCAAGAACAAAGGCAGTCAAGAAGGAAAATCTCATGGTGGATCAAAATTCGACAGAACAAAGTTATTTTCTTTTGTTTTTTCTTCTCAGGTCCTCCTGGTTGAGTTTTGTGCGGATGTCAGCAGTGTCTAACTAACATTTGGCTTCAAGATTGGAGCTTCTTTTTTCTTGCAATCCTTCCTTCTTTGAGCCTACGTGGCTCTGGTCAAGCCAATTGGTCCGATGACAGGATGACGTGTTCCAACAAGATTTCTGAAGACAGTTCTGGAAGGATCGCGATGTGTCCGCATCTTTTCATAAGATTCATCCATATTTGAACTTGCAGACATTGTCTGAAACTTTTTAAAGGACAGTGTCTGAACAATTATTGCAGGGGAGAGATTTGAATCAACATGGCTTCATCTCAAGGAGGACGTCTTGAGAGAGCAGCCTACCGCCACTTTTATTTGCAATAACATGCATTTGAGAGCTCACTCCTAGCTAGCTTTTGTAATTGTAACTCGCTAATATGTGCATTGAAAGTCAAAATGTCGCGCTACCTATTGCTTGTACTAAAAAATGCAAGGCTGCGGCCTGGGTGTGATCCCTACTTTGCTGTCGCCATCCCTTCAAAGTTGCTCTATGGAACGTGGCTGTCATCCAATTTGATTCGCTTCCGGCTACCTGACAATTCATCACCCATGACTTCACTCGTGTCATTCAGCTGGCCTCGGTGGCCACCAGGTTGTGGGACAAGAGGTGCGTCACAGTTGCTACCACTCGTAGTGTCCATCGCACTATCAGGAATCACTTGGCTTGCCCCATCAGAAGTTGCTTGGGTAGGGCCAAGAGGCGGACGGATAGAGGCGTCCTCGTCCTTGCGCCGCTTTGCGATAGAGTCTCCTCGCGCACGTTGGACTATTTCCATGCCATTGGCTGCAATCAACGGGATTTTGAACCACACGCTGGCGAGTCCTTCCTCGCCGCCCAACGATTGTGGTGACTGGAATCCGTACGACCCACCTAGACTATCGACGTGAGAGGCCAACGGCCACAATTGGATTTCCGAAAGATTGTTGCTCTTGTTTTGCTCTTCTTTTTTGGACAGCCGCACCTTTTGCTCTCCAAAGTATTCCCCGGTTTGATGATGTCCGACACCCGACGATCCTGTAATATTCCGACATTCAAAGATCGCTTGTTGTGGCTGCTGTTTATTGTTATTGTTTTGATCCGGTGCAATCCGAAAGTGGATAGATGATCCTCCTTTGGAAGCTTTGGAGCACGCATGTCGAAGCATGTTGAGACAAGCACGTTGTAAGTGGTGCAAGCTTTTTGTGATAATCGAGGTTGGCATTTTGGGATCCATCGAAAAGACCATGGGCGACCCTTTTGGAAACGGGTCCATGAGATTGTGAAGAAGTTCCAAAGTCTCTTTGACAATAATGATCTTGTCATTTTTTGTCTTCTCCTGCGGCATTATTATTATTTCATCACACGAAGAAATCACCGTGCTGCTCATAGATTTCGATGCCTCACCCTGAACACCTGCCAACGTTGTTTCGTTGATATCCGCGACAACGTCCGTCGCCGACAGCGCACTCGAGATGTTCCTGCGGTGTTCTTGGGACCGTGGGTCCTTGTTCATCTTGAGAAGGATTGGTTGGAGACAATGCTGGATACCCTGCAAGAGCCCCTTGGAATCATGTTTGGCAGCTTGCACCATATCCACAGCTGCCTCCATGGCTTTACGACTCCGCCTGTTGTGACGACCTTGGATCAATGCATCACCCGCCAGTTTTCCCAAATCCAAAAAGGTTGCCGTTTCCTCCTCAGTGAATCCATTCGGCTTGGCTTCACATCCCATGACACAAAAGGTTCCCACACGAAAACCTTCAGGTGACACCATGGGAGTACTGGCATAGAATCGCAGGTGATAAGGTCCCGTAACGTGTGGACTCTTGCAAAAACGCCAGTCCTTGGTAGCATCGGGAACAATCATGTGATCTCCTTTGTACTGCAGGGTATGATTGCACCAGGTTTCCTTGCGACCACTTTCCGTGACGGTTTTGCCTAGACCAGCATTGCTCATTATATAGCTCCTTCCAATATCCATCAAATTCACAGCGCAAATGGGGACTTTGAGCAACCGTTGTCCCATGGCGGTCAGCCGGTCCAAGGTAGCACGGGTACTGGCAGTGGTGGGATCATCATCTCGTTCAATCATATGATCAAAGGTCTGGACATTCATCAGACGCTTTACTTCATGGGAAATTTGTTGAGGCTCCGACCGTTCTTCGTCGTAGTCGCTCAAGGTCCAATCCCAACTTTCATCCAGACGCTCATCCTCGTTGGTTCTTTCATCAGATTCGGAATAAGTACCAGTCGTCCATGCGGTGCTTTCAGTCCTCTCCGACAACGACCGACTCAACGTCGAATGTTGACGACTCGTGTGTTGATCATCCACTCCTTCTCTGGCTTCGGCAATGTCGTCCCGACTTTGAATGTTCATGTTCATCAACGCCATACGCAGGTCGTCAGCGTTGCTGTCAAAGTCGACAACGCTTCGAAAGGTACCAGAGCGTGGCATGGCAGCAATCGATCTTTGAGTAGTCTAGCTAGCCGAGGTGCAGTTATGGTACAAGCACAAAGTGGTAAGGTTGCACTGAAGGATAATCACGGAAGGAATGTTGCTCCTAGTAGACTATCACCGAAAAGCAAAAGCAAATTGCACTCGCTGTGGCCGCCTATCGAACAGATCCCTCTTCAGCAACGAGCAACGCCACAGCAGTCAACGACTGGACTCCATGCTATGGCACAGCGTACATAGCTGTAACAGGTCCTCAACAAAAAAAAGAAACAGGCCCTTGCTTTTTGCTTGCCTTGATTCCGTGTAAAAGGCCTCGGAAGCAATGGTCCCAAGCAAGTACCGTAGCTGGCCCCATACGCTATTTCTGTATTTTAATACTCTCACTTTTTAAAAACTTTAAACTATGATAAGTCTTCTTCTTTAGCTACCACAGTGACGCAATAGTTCGCAATGACGTGGTGGAAGCCAAACAGCTCCAAAAACCAAAGTCAATTAACAGCCACTTTCCGAAACGCAAATCCTTATTGTGTCGGAGGAACAGCCTGTATCGAGCTTCTTAATAAAGACATACTCTTCAATAGTTATCTCGATGAAGCTGGGATTTAACACATTGGTTGCCCCATCTCTTGTGGAGAACTCTGAAGAACATTCATGCCACGAACTTGCGAAGCCTGAAAGTGAAATCACAGCTAAAAGCTCGTGACCCGCTTTCCTACTCTAGCAGCTACTTTACTAGCACAGTCCACTACACTTATTAAGTGTAAACCTTAATATTATAGCTATATTATTGCCGTACGCCAACGGGTTGCAATGAGTGAGTTCTGTTCTAGTAGCAATTGTGGCTGCACCCGTTGTTCCTGAGATGAGATGCATGCTGCTGCCCGGGTCTTCTTGCCTTTGTTTCAAGGTACCATAATAAAGGTCGAGAATCGAATCCAGCCAACTAAATAGATACAGCAACTAGTACAGTAGAGTACAGCATGGCAACTTTGCTTGCTACTACTTTCCTGCTCTTGTCGCCCTGGATCAAGGCGTGTTGGTCTACAGAACCGCAGGTCTGTCTGCTCAACAACAGTGAGAACAAACTCAACCAAGACATCAGCTGCTGGATACCTTGATTGTCAGTGCTCATCATTTCGAGCACTTGTGCTTGAAGAGGTTTCTGCTGCCGCAGATTCGATTCAACAACAGCAGATCCACTCTCCATTTGCTCCAAGATTTATGCGATCGACAATTTTAAGGGGTCGCTCTAGGGTCTTACGAAACGAACGGAGCCAAAAAAAATTGCCCTATTGATGGGGAACTGGGTGCTGGCTACATCCATTGCCTGCAAGGAGAGGATCATGTGAGAAAGGCAATTCTTCAACAACTTGAAAGATGTTTCAAGTTGCACACCACGTGCACACCAGACCGTAGCATTTGGACCTGTGCTGCATGCCAAGGGAGAATATGAAGGTGCACTAGATAGCAAAGTGCAATGCACCTGCTCTGTCAAAACACAAGGGATCTCTTGACATTGAAGAATGTGTCTTGTGCAAGGATCATTACTTTGTTGCAACCACATAAGATCAAGAATAATTTTCTGACAAGGATACCAATGGCAACATCGCTTCTGTGCTAAAGACAAGAATATCTTTAATGGTGCGAGTGGACAAATTGCTTCTGTGTGGCAGCTGAAGCCTAGGGCAATCTCCCCAGGCCGAAGCGAGGGTTGATATCACAGAGAGGCAGCCACGGGCACCCTCACTAGCAGCACACTCCCAAGGGGAGGTGGTGCATATGTGTATCACTACAGCAATTCACATTGGCAGATCCTGCAGGACCGTGCCAAACATCAGAGGTCGTCGAAGGAAGCCTTCCTTCCTTCCTTCCCTCCCCGTAACCCATTCATCCCATTCAACAAAAGGAGAAAGAAACGCAAAGATCGTACGTGGAACATGTTGAGCCAGCGAGGCACTGCTTCCTGTGGGAGAGGAAGACTGATGCTGCTGTTGTGAGACGCTTCACACCTAGCAGCTTGCCTTCTGGCATCCCAAGTATGAATCCATCTCTCAGTGCACAACCCAGCATGAACCCTTCACAAAGTATTAAGCCCAGCAGAACGCCAAGTGCACCTCCATCTGTCAGCAATGCTCCAAGCCAGGCTCCAAGTGCAAATCCAAGCATGACACCTAGCAGCTTGCCTTCTAGCATGCCAAGGAGGAATCCATCTCTTAGTGCACAACCCAGCATGAACCCTTCACAAAGTATTAAACCCAGCAGAACACCAAGCACGCCCCCCGTATAAAAAGCAGCTGAAAAAGCAGCCATTTTCCCACGTTTCATCTGTTAAAATTGGTTGACTGTTTGGTCTACTGGTAGGTAGTACCATATTGAATTCACAGTCTCTTAATACGCATTCCTTGAATGCAGGATCTCTGAAGCTTTTATGATTGTACGGTGCGGTGCGGGATTGCCGTCAATCGATCTCTGTCAATAGAAGGAAGCCATTGCGGTTCAAGAATGCTTTTGTCGAAAGGATCATCTTGTGTGACGGTCACAAATGGCAGCATCACTTCTGGGCTATTTGGATATGGTGCCAGTGGCCAAATCGCTCCTGTGTTGCAGCCAAAGCCTTAGGCAATCCGCCCAAGCCAAAGCGAGGGTTGATCTCACACAGAGTGGCGGTACCCTCACCAGCAGCACACTCCCAAGGTGAGGTGGTGCATTTATTTGTGTTGCTATCACTACAGCAATTTACATTGGCAGATTCTGCGGACCGTGCTGAACTTCTTCCGGTCTTCCCAAATTTCATCACCCCGGCTTCCACGAGCCGTTTCGTATAGCAGCAAGCTACCAATTGGTGGTACAAGTGTGGATAGCATGGTGTTAGGACGTTTGGGTCTTCTCTACTTGTCGACTATGGCAAGCAGCCAGTTCCATCGCCAAATGCTTCCAACTAGAGCCAGCCAGCTATCCAGTAGCCAGATACTTGTCATTTCGTGTGCGTATGGCCGGTCTATGTACGTACACTATCGGTACACAGGTTGATTCAGTTCTATCCTTGCTATTGTGATTGCCCAAAATGTTCCCCCAGTCGATCCAGTAGATTCATGGCGATCAGATCCGGTACACCGGCCATGCAATAGTGTGTACAGTCGTTGCCGCCCACATGATAGTCTCCCATGTCTTCATCTGGCACATCCAAGATTACGTCGACATTTTGACCCTCTTGAAAGACTTTGAGCTCGCTCTCTCGTCGTGGATTGATGGGTAGGCTGGACCGACACCCATTGACCGTGGTATTGAGGGGAATCGGTGGTGATGAACCCATCATGTATTTGTAGTATTGCCCATCGGGAGAGTTGAAATGTTGCGTTGTGCTTGTTTGTAGCACAAAAGTGGGAGCATTTCTGCCGTTGATACGGGCTTGTCGCAAGGCCCGACCTAATTGATCAATCTTGGGATATATTTTCTTTCGACTCCAAGGAGTCAAGTGCATTCCCACCGTATACACAACCGTATCTCGGCGTCCCAAACCAAACGGATACCCCGTAGGTTGTAGTTGAAACTTGAGTTTCCCTGTTTCTTTCCAGGACTTTAACCAGTTATCGATAATTTCTTTTTGATTGTGATCGAGGCCACCGGCATGTGGAAAAAAGAAGATATCGAGCCCCTGTTTGAGTCGAATGCGTCCCGCATCAAACCCCGAGTGCTTGCCACTGGTGACACATCCTGGGAATCCATGACAGGGCCAATACGGCTTCCAGTCCATGTAGAACTTGGCAATCATGTCTTGATGCCAAAAGAAACATCCCAAGGCAACAAACACTTGGCGCATGGTGGAATCTCCCACCAAGAGCAGCTTGGGTATGTATTCATCAGTAGGGACAGTGTAGTTGCTGTTGTTGTTAGATTGCCACCAGTATCGCGGGCGTTTGCGCTTGGCGGCAAGATCGAAGGACGCTTGGGCTTGTCGGTGACGTCCTTGACGGAAACAACTGAATTTGCTCATTTCAAAGGGACACGAGAGATTCTTGTAGAGTGGAATAGAAACATTACTGTCGGTATCATTGGCTGTGAGGAGAGGATGTGCACTTGGGGTCCTGGTCAGGGGTAGCCTACTAAAAGTATCATTTTTCTGGTCCTTCTTCCTATTCAGATCCCTTGGTGCAAAGCTGGCGATTGCTTCATTATCCACACAAAGATAAGCGACCAGGCATAATCCCAAAGAGAGCAACAAGCCAGACCAAAGACGAATCTTTCCCATCTCTCTTTTTAACTTATGAGCTACCGCCATGGTCGGAAGAATTCATAAAATGGATGAGGTTGCCTGATAATAAGGAACTGGTGCAGCTAGCTGTACGTACACTGTACCAGTACATGTACGCAGCATGCAGGTCGCATCGGAACTGCATTGGTTCCTGCGATATTTTTATTGTAACAACAGTATACCAGTACTAGAAAAATTGCGCGTGCGACTGACCTTTTAACTCCTGCTCTGACCAACGTTAACTCTACCGGTACCGGTATGGACAAGGTAAGGTAGGAAACTCTAGCTACCGGTACCAGTAGTAGAGAGGCGCAGAAGACTGTAGGCGTGGTTTCCAATCTTTCAATTATTCCCGAGGGGGCGCAGGGAGAAGCAATGGACCATCGTTGATCAAATCACTTCGAGCAAGCCATCAAACTCGGCTACCCTAGCCATGGTAGTGCGGTAGGCAATATAGCCCCAGTCGCAGCCCAGCAACATTCCCTCCGTTGTCTCCTTAGTTAGAGGTGGACCAGGGGCTTTCCCTCACTTCGCCCAGCCTTCGTATTCCAAGCCAAAGCTGTCAGTATCATGCTACCACAAACTACCGCAGGTGTTAGCTAGCTAGCTGGCTTCTCACGAATGAGCTGCACAGTATTCCATGGCTTGTTGCAATATCAGAGCATCCTCGTTGCTTGGAGGATTGTCTCCCCTGAGGGTCACAAAGCAACCAATGACATCATTGATGATTGCCGCTGGTTCCTGATGAGCCCCCTTCTTGATCCACGCCACAATGGCCTTTTCGATTGCTTCTGTATTGACGACCAGCCGTAGTTCGGATTGATGTTCCGTGAGAAGCACGTGCCAAATCTCGGTCAAGCGGCATGCCACGGGAACGGAGGATGCACTACTATTAGTAGACCAATAGTGACACAGGAACCATGCCATGTTTTCGCCCAGCAAATTGTGTTTCTTGAGAAGCAAGACACGATACGAATCGTCGCACGCGGTTTCCATGATTCCCAGAAGACTGGCCATGACGTAATGCTGTTGTTCCTGGGCCTGCAACGAGTTTTGGACGACAACGTCCAGTGCTTTTAGAATTTCGGCCGTATCCACATGCTTGAGCCCCTCAAAGGCGTCAAACTCGGACAAGAGCAGTCCCAGCAACTGTATCATGACTGGGATATCATCATCAACTTCCTTTTTGCCAGACGCTTGACCCAAAAATAGGCACGTGGCTTGCAAGGCGTCTTCGAGCGAGTCGCGAAGATGGAGCAATGCCGCAGGCAATAGCTGCTGATGCCGGCTGGTGTTGCCTTCTTCCAAGTCTTGGGCAAGCTGGGACATGTAGGCCAGTAAGGATGCCAGTATCTGAGCGCATGCCTGAATGACGACACTGTCGTTTGTGGACGACTGTTGTTCCAATGCATATCCGAGCAGAATCCGCCACTCCCCACTGGTCAGCCGAATCAATGCACACAAGTGTGCGGCGTTCCCCAAGGCCTTGGTGTCATTCTTGGTGTCCTTTGTCGTCGCGTCCGTATCCATCAACAGCCAATCACAGCCTCCTTTTGCCGCCACCAAGGATGCCAAGGCGGTCCATGCCAGCATGCGATGATTATTCGTGGTGTCACTTGCTCCAGCAGTCGGCATGGTAATGTTTGCCAGAAGAAGCTTTACCAGGGCGGCTTTGGACGACGATTCTTGGAGCATGGCGACGAGTTCCGGGTGTGTGGCCAAAGAATTGACAAACAGCAAGAGAGTCTCGTGCCACGACCGTTGATGAGATGGATCCTTGCCTTTTTGTTTCAAATCTAGTAGTGGATTGGAGGACATTAGGCACTGACGAAACCACCGCCATAGAGATGCAATAGATTGTGGCGATTCCTGTGTCATGACGACAAGTACGTGATTTCGAACTAATTCTTGTACGGATTGATGCAGTCGTTCCTGCCATTGCGCGGTTGTGTTGCTAGTAGAATCGGTTCGATCCAAAATGGCGGTGAGGGTTTCCTCCATGAGGGTTTGATCCGACTTGGCCGTTGTCTCTGCCGTCTCTTGCTTTTCTTCCACTGATGAGACCAATAATTGTTCCGCGGCCATTCCTTTCGTGTAGCATTCCCAAATCAGATCGATATTGGTCTCCAACAATAAAAGTGAGGGTTTGTTGTGGGATGGGAATCTGGTACAATACCCATTTAATACTTCCACTATTTGGGTAATCAATGGTAGAAAGGACTGCGTTTTCTGGCTCTGCCTCACAAAATCCAACAGGAGATGGAGTAGACGTGTAGAGGATTCCTCCAAGTTTTCGTTATTGATGCTGTCTTTTCCTTCCAAGCAGCCCAAGAGGCGTTCGAGCAACAGCGCCACAAAGCGTGCGTTTGTCACGTTGCTCTTTGTGCTTGTGTTTGGCAATAACAACAATAATCTACGACAAAAGCATTCCAACAATGTTCGATGATGGTTCCATACAGTTTGGAACTGCTGGACATTCATCAGCTGATGATTGGTCAAGAGTACCAGTGCCACCAGATATCGTTCACTTTGGAAATTGTCATGGTCATGGTGGTCGGCTATTGTCAGCAAATGCTCCACCTTGGCGTCATAGCTGCTGCTCCCAGTCATTCTTGAGGATTCCATCGTCGCTGTTGTTGCTGTCATCTTGCTCTCTGATCAGTACGGTATCCAAGTCATGTATGTGTACACTTACTTCTGGACTGTCAGTACGGTACGGGCGTGTAAAAGAACGGAGCGCCATTGTGGAGGTGAGGCATGTGGAAAATGGACGGTGAAACGATAAAAAGTGAAAATATGAATGATTTGCTTTTTAGAAATTCCTCCAAGACGGTGCTACCAAGGACCTTGCACGTAAAGCATGGCCCATGCGCTGTGAGCCTTGGTGGCACCGGTTACCAGTGGCTTCTCAGTGCGTGCCCACCAGCATGCAAACTTGGGCTCCTTCATGTGAGTTACCTGGTGGAATAGACCAGAATTATGAACCCATCATTCTGGCCAGTGCAGCTACCTATTGAGGCGCTCACCGTTGAAGAAGCATCCAGTGTGAAACTGACAAAGCCAGTTGCTACCCAAGTGTTGAAGGTAGCCTGTGCCACAGTAAAATCGTCCTGTGTATAAGCTGCAGAGCATTGAGTAGCACTCCCACTAGGGTTTTGACCCAAGGAAGTTCCATCTTGGTCAAATACCTCATAGAACTCATCATTAAGATCCAAATCACCCCGCACAAAAGTTTGAACAGTCACATCGCTGGTGGCAGGCATCAGTGAAGTAAAACAAATCTCAAGTATTCCCTTTGGAACAAGGATACAGAAAGAGCTAGTGTTGGACTTGAATCAGACCACAAGAAATACAGGTGTTTACACATGTAGCTCACTTACCCCAGATTCTAATAGTGGGCACAGAAGCGAGGTTGTAGATGATGAACAAGTCTTGGTAGGAGCCTGACTGAGGCTTGGCACTGAACTTGGAAACTGGCTTAAGCTTGGATTCTGGCTGAGGCTTGGGGTTGAACTTGGATTTGCACTTGTACTTGGATTCTGGCTGGCACTTGGGTTTGCACTTGGATTTGCACTTGTACTTGGAGACTCACTTGGACTTCTACTGGGCTTAATACTGACTGAAGGTATGCTGCTTGGTGAAGTAGATGGTGTACGACTTGGTTTGATGCTGAGTGAAGGGATCAAGCTGGGTTGAGCACTGAGAGATGGATTCATACTTGGCATTGCAGAAGGGATGCTGCTGGGTTGTGCACTAAGAGATGGATTCATACTTGGCATAGCAGAAGGCAAGCTGCTAGGCATGCGACTGGGAACTTCACTAGGTTGTGCACTAAGAGATGGATTCATACTTGGCATAGCAGAAGGCAAGCTGCTAGGCATGCGACTGGGAACTTCACTAGGTTGCAAACTGAGAGATGGATTCATACTTGGCAGGGCAGAAGGCTCCCTGCTAGGCAAGCGGCTGGGAACTTCACTCGGTTGTGCACTAAGAGATGGACCAGAGCTTGGCAGGACAGAAGGCTCCCTGCTGGGAGTGAGACTTGGTAGGGCACTGGGCTGAGCACTGAGTGATGGACCTGTGCTTGGAAAATTACTTGGCACCATGCTGATTGAAGGATTGATACTTGGCATGCTGCTTGGGGATAAGCTTGGTAGAGCAGAAGGTGCACTGCTGGGGTTGCTACTAGGATCGGCACTGGGCATGAGTGATGGCAATTCACTTGGCATGCTGCTTGGGTTTGAGCTTGGTAGAGCAGAAGGTGCGCTGCTGGGGTTGCTACTAGGATCAGCACTGGGCATGAGTGATGGCAATGCACTGGGCATGAGTGATGGCAATGCACTTGGCATGCTGCTTGGGTTTGAGCTTGGTAGAGCAGAAGGTGCACTGCTGGGTTGCTACTAGGATCAGCACTGGGCATGAGTGATGGCAATGCACTGGGCATGAGTGATGGCAATGCACTTGGCATGCTGCTTGGGTTTGAGCTTGGTAGAGCAGAAGGTGCACTGCTGGGGTTGCCACTAGGACCATCGCTGGGCTGCACCGATGGGAATGAACTTGGCATGCTGCTTGGGATTGAGCTTGGTAGAGCAGAAGGTGCACTGCTGGGGTTGCTACTAGGACCATCGCTGGGCTGCACCGATGGGAATGAACTTGGCATGCTGCTGGGTCTTGAACTTGGTTGAACTGAAGGGGACATGCTGGGGGAGATGGTTGGCTGGTTGGATTCAGAACATTGAGCAGTGATGCCATATCCAATACCAAAGCCAGCACCAAGGCCTACACCTATGGTAAACTCCAGGGAATAGAGTCCATTGAGATTTGACACCAAAGCAGTTCCAATCCCAACTCCAACTGCAGCATCTAGGTCGGTCACAACTGATCCTCCCAAAATATCCTGTGTGGTTCCAGTAAAGGCAAATCCAATCAACATTGAGACTTCAGCTCCAGCACCCAGTTCAGCTCCAAAGGTTCCTCGAATGAAGTCATTTGGTGTAGGAGCATCTCCAAGGGCCCAGAAAATAGACATGGCAAGGTCTACAAGCGCACTCACTTCAATGTGAAGTCCCATGTACACAACAGTGCCTTCAGTGCTGGGGGCTTTGGGAATACAGTCATTAGCAGCTTCTTGCAATGAAGTGAGGTGAGGTGGTGGTTGGGCATTGAAGGCATCCAGAAAGTCGAGATATGTTGCACTCTGCTGGAACTCTTCAGGATTCTGAGCATCACGGGCTGCATCAACAAGGTCACTTTCATCAAGATAGGCAGCAGTGAGAATGGATTCTTTCCAGACCTCTAGATCCAAACGAAAGCTGTTCACAACCTGCTCGAGACATGCCCTGTCCGGGAAGCACCTCTTTCGAAGGGCAGAAAAGTCATTGGAACAAGTAAGGCCTTCTCCACAAGTATTCCTACGTCCGCATCGCTGGCCAACACCTTGTTGCTCGGAATAAAAAGGGCCCTCACTTTGGTCCTCGAAGGTACTGTTGTTGCCACTGTCACTGGAAATGTTGGCAGCTTGGACAGCAACTGCATCTACTTCGTCCCGGCTGATGACATGGTACTGGGCTGAAACCACATGATTGGTGAGTAGCAGGCAAAGAAGGACAAGAACATGGGATTTCCACAACATTGTTGTTGCTCAATGTTTCACTTGAACAGGCGAAAAAATGAGGTGTTTTTTTTTGTGTTTTGTGGCAGAGGAAACAGATTCTTGTCCCTTTCTTCTAACGATAGAGGGAATCGAATCGACCCTGTACCTGTTAGAAGCGTCGCTCTTGCTTGGCTAGTACCCTAACTAATAACAAAACTCCGGAGGAGTTGGTCGCTTTTCGTCTCATTTCTTAGGCGACAGGAACGGTTGAGTTCCGTGGCTGTCCTAATAATGCCGATGTTAACTAAGTGTGATGGCGATGACATGCGAACAGAATCAATCCTGGAGTAAATACTGTACGGTAGCCCCTCTACTCAGTACTTACTTTGCATCGCCAAGATAAAAAGTGAAAACGTGAAAATAAATAAAAAATCACTTTCCAGAAATCCAGCAAAAACGACATTGCCACCGGTCACAGTGGGATGGCTACGATACTACCGAACCGAACTACCGGTACGGCATCCCAACCCACGTGACTCAACACTCCCAACCAACTTGCTTGTGAAGTCTCTCTGCAAAAAGTGATATATGAAATGAGCACTACACTCCCATCATGAGATTAGTCTAGATGCGCTGATGTAGTCTAGCTAGTCTAATCCATAACCATTGATTGAGACGTTACTAGCTAGTTGTTTAGTCATTTGTATACTACACTGTATGTATGAATGAATGAATGAATGAAATCCCATGGTGCAACAACAACAGCAATGGAAGACGTCATCATCTGTATCTACCAGTGGTCCAACAACAACCACAAAAGACGGACGAAAGATGACGACGTTGGACAAGTTGTGGAAATTCGTCGTCATGGCCCTACAGTTTACCGCCAATAGTAGTACTGGTAGTAGTAGTGACCAGACTGCCGGCAATCACAGTGCCGAAGCCAGAGGCCGACGCAAAGGAGTGTGGTCCCGTACTACTACTACTACTACTAGTAGTAAAAATCCTCGATGGATCTTGTTGCTCTGTTTGGCCGGAACTTGCAAATTCTTTTTCGACATGACTGCCATTACATCTTCTTCCACTACTACAACATCCATCACTACTGCCCAAGTCGAATCTCTACCATTCGCTACTACTACTACTATTGCTACGGCTGGTGTGAGTAGTAGTAATAGCAATAGTGACGAACCCGCCTATCGCTCGAGTCAAGCCATGGATATCATGCAAGTCGTTCGGACTCGCTTTATGCAACGTCAACCCAATTTGGTTCATTTGGGACAATCGCGGCTCGAACTTTTCAAGACGTTTTGTCTCCCCACCATGCTCATTCAGACGTTGCAAGATTTTGCTTGGTTGGTCTACACGGATCCCGATTTGGATCCTTCTCTCTTAGGCGAACTGCGCGCTCTATTACAAGCGCATCCCAATTTCTATTTGATTCTGAGTAATGACAATCAACTGACGCTTCCCGATTTGGTTCAAAAAGCCACACAAAATCCCAGTATGGTATTGACGGGCAATCTGGAATATCTGACGCGCAGTTACCAACGGCACGCCACATCGCAAGCTTCCGTGGTGCTCTATATTGAAACCGGATTGGATGCCGACGATGGATTGCAACGCGATGCGCTGTCGGAAATACAAAAACACGCCGTCGCCGAAACGTTTCTGTGGAATAGTCCCACCCAACGGAGTGATTCCTATCATTGGTTCATACTCTGTGTCGGCAATCATTACGAATGGAAAAATGTCGATGTCTTTTTGGGACGTACGACCGATTTTCGTGGATTGATTGCCGAACATCACAATCCCGAACGATGTGTCACACCCGGGTTGACCATGGTCAATTCACTGACGGCGCCACATGGTGGGGGCGACCGATTACCCATTTTTGAACATGCGCCTTTTTCGTACAATGAAATTGTCGTCAATCATTGGCGGTTGAACGAAAAGTATCCCAATTGTCGCAATCACGGCGCGACACAATTCGAACCGTGTTGGAAACAAATCAATGAACACGCACAACAACAAGCGGCGGCGATACGAGCGCGAACCATTACCAGTACCGGCATGAAAGATGTCCTGACGGCAACGGCCGAAGAACAAGTCAAATCGAATGGATTGTGGCATACGCTCAAAGAAGAATTTGGCATTCGCGTGGGCGCTGTCAAAATGGCATCCCGCCAAATATTTGCCAATCGTGTCGAAACCGTCACGGAACTCATGAAGGGACGATGTCAAAAGGGACATTCTTGTTTGGACAAGACGGAAGCGTCACTCCAAGAATTGTTGCAGCAATTGAAACAGGCTGGTGATGGTTCTATAAGTAAAACTGTCAGTACGTAAAACTGGAAAGTAGATGGATGATGAAGACGTAGTAGTTCTAGATGAGGTTGCACCTGCACGTGTGTAGACCAGTTCCATACGCTGCAATGAGTTTACCGTACCGTACAAGAACGATGGAATCAAACGATTCTTACACTGCTAGGTACCTTTGACTGCCGGGAACTGCAATGCTACGAGGAAAGCGGTTTACGCTACGACAATGTCTTTCGGTACATGTAACCGAGTCAAGTCAGTCGAGTCCTCGTTTGCGAAGGTTGGGTTGTGGCGGCAGGCTGGGGGCTACTGTACGATGCAATCCAAGGCAACGATGAATCGATGCTCTTTTCAAATCGTGCGACAACGGGATAATCAGCTCTTTCGATGCTGATGCTGGCAGGCCATCGCCATGCCCGTGCATAGTCGTACGGTATCACAGGGCCCAAAACCATGATAGCTCCGGTGAGTCTCAGATCCGTCATCGCTCCGTCCACAACATGTTGTTCCGGTACTGATGTGATCCTTCCATGATTGCGACAACGTAGCGCGCACGACTCTTAATGTTTAGTTCTGTTGCAATGCTATACAGTACCTCCATTTCCTGGTGGAGATGAAGATTCGCAAGTTAGAGCTCCGTAAATTTCTTGGTTGCATTCGCTGTCACAATTGCGTTGCCTTAAATCGAATCTCGCTAGAACATTGCGGTCACTGCCCAACGCTAGCTTCTCATCTTTCTCGTACGGTAGGCATCCTGGCTTGGAGGAGTCTTCTTCTTCCTTCCCCGACGCTTGGCGGGTGCACGCTTGTCGACTGCTGGATTGGCGGAGTCGAGTCCTCATTGTCGCTGCCCTTGTGGTCCTCTGTCAAGTCCTGGCTTGGAGAAGCCTGAGATCTTCCTTCTCCAACGTTTGGTGGGTGCACGCTTGGCTTGGTGGCAGCAGGCTTGGAGCACAAGTCCTCATCGCCCGTTCTCTTCATTGTCGCTGCCCTTGTGGTCTTCTGTCAAGTCCTGGCTGGGAGAAGTTCTTCCTCCCCCAACGTTTGGTGGGTGCACGCTTGGTGGCAGCGGCTTGGACTTCTTTGTGCTTCGCATGGGTGTGCATCTGTAGATACTTGATCGTCGGAAACCGCGCATCGCACTGCATGGGAACACTCCACTTGGTTCGTGAAATCCAAGTTGGCGTCAATCTTTGCCTGGTCTTTAGTTCGCCGCATGATACCTTTCACAGGCTTCGGCTTGTGCTTGCAGTTGTAGATATGCAACTTCAATTCTTCGTGGGTCATGCCGTCTGCGCCACAACCTTCGAATGGGCAAGCCATGTCCTTGTCATTGCATTCATTCTTAATATGATGATTGTGCCAATCATCCTCAGAGTGGAACTCTTCAGTGCAGTTCTGTCCGGTACATGAAAAGCCACCAACCTGGTAGAGCTTTGGATCCTCTTGCTCCAAGAATCGAGCGTGGAAAGGTCCCTTGCGAAATCTTTCACCAGGCCATGCGATGCAAAAAATCTGGTTTCACCTCATGATCTTGAATAAATGGCTTCGACTGCAGCCTCTCGAGGAACAGAGGGCTGGCAAACGTTGGCGGGAACAGTGATGAGTATCGCTTCTTGTCGCCTGACTCCTCTTTTCCAACAGTTTTCTCGGGATGAGGCATGCGGATGTTCAGATGAGGGGTGGTATCAAAACCATCGATAGTCTCAGCAATACCGGTACAGTCGTTTCGAAAAAACTTTCTGGTCGAAGTAACGCGCTCCCACTCGAGATCTCTGGGCATGCGAAGGAGTGTGCCCGAAGAGAGTGACAAGGTCAGTCAAGGGGCGGATGCCTGGGGTCTGCCCGTGTTTCCTTGACTTGAATTCCGCAACGTGATCTTGGGGCAATCTTTGTCAAACTTGACCAACTCGTCAAAGAGCTCAGCTCTCCTGTGGGATCTTGTTCGTACATGTAGTTCCTGATACGACCGCTTCCATTTTCGAGCTCGATTTGTTGATTTCCCGCGATAGCAATGAAGAACAGCTCCGCCCAACGTTGCACACTTTTTTCGCCCAGAATCATCACAGCCAATCTCTGTACTAGTAGTTCCCGATTGACTTAATTTGTTACTGGCAAGTTCCACACCCTCTCTCAGTTTGCGTTCAAGATCTTCGGGGGTCTCGGGGTCAATCGCCAACTCGGTCTTTCCATTCCAAACATCCAAAGCAGAGTCAATGGCACCCATTCGCTCGAGGAGTACAAGGAAGAAGCCGATTCCACTAGCCTCGATGGTAGTGGCTTCAAGAATAGTTTGTTCGTACCCTATCGACCAGGACCAACGCCCCTTTTCCAGCAAGGCACAGAGGTGAGTCGACGGTGTCCCTCGACGGTTTCCAGAGTAGTCGCCGCGATAGCATGAAGAACAGCTCAAAGTCTCGCACTGTTTTCGCCGAGAATCGTCACAGTCAATCTCTGTAGTTCCCAATTGGGAAGGCGCCCGAACCGCTCAAGACAAGCGATAATGCAGCGACGAGCATCATGATAGGTTAGATGTACCCACTCTCTCTTGCCTTTCCGACGGCAGAACTCTCGACTTGATAGGTGTTTGGCCATGCATTTTTGCATGCTCAGTGCTCAGGAACACCCAAACCCTCCTCCGCGACGCCTTTTCGATCGATCTGTATTGCCACGGACATAGTTCTTAGAAGCAGGCGAGATGAGTAACCAACATGACAACTACTATTCGTTACAGTATTGGGTACATACACAGATATGAAACTTGACAGTCAACAGATTCTTCTGAGCGATGTCTCCAATGTGCACATGGTTGCACAAGGGAGATATTGCATGCACCTCTCGTCTTGTTACATAAAGTAATGCTCGCAAACTTTGTCAACTTCTGGGCAAAGATTACAAGCTTCACCAACACCACCAGCGGCTTGTACAGCAGGCAGCTGTGTGTTCAAATTCAGATCATCGCCATTGCTTTCAATCACGCTACTGGCGCTATCGTCGATCGTGTTCTTCTTGTCGCTGCCTTCATCCTTCCAAATGTCGCCGCCATTCTGCTGCTTCTCATTGTCGTGCGCATTTTCGTCGTGCCACGTGTCCTCCAGAATGGCCCGACCAACCGTTGCCTGAGCTGGGACGTTTTCCTTGACCGACTCTCTCGTCGTTGGTTGTTCTTGTTCTTGCACGAGTGGTTCGCTGCATGCATTGTTGTTGACTCTCCAGGCATTGGAAGCAGTAGGAGGCAGTATGGCTGGGACCCGCACAACATCGAGTTCATCATGAGGAGGGATAAACGCCTCGGATGGAAGTGGCTCTGCGGCGGCGTGAACGGTTTCACTGAAATCTTCCTGTTCGTACCAGGCATGAATGGCACTGACGGCATTTTGCTTTTGTCGTCGAATACTATTATCGTCACTTCCGGGCTCGCTCATGACAAAACTCGATCGACGTCGTTCGTGTTCCAAATCATCGGCTTCGGCACCAATGCGCAGACATTCATCTCTCAGCATGCTTTCGACTTGTCCCATGGTGTATCGCTCTTCGAGGATCGGAGACCAACCCTTTTGAAGCAACAATTTGATGGGGGCACTCCAATCTTCTTCGAGTTGGGGACGTTTTTGTTCGGCTCCCCATACCCGTGTCTTCATCTTTGTCATGGTGTACACTTCAAAGGGAGTTTTGAGTGCCAGCATTTGCCACAGAAGAATGCAAAAGGAGTAGGTATCGCAAGTGGAATTGTACGGTTTGCCCAGTGCGACCTCTGTGGTGTTGAAGAACAGGAGAATTCGTGTCAGAATGATCGAATCTCTCATGATGTGTATTGCAATTCCTACATTGCACGATCATCGCTCGCCATCAAGTACTACGGTACGTACCCGGTGCCATGTATCTGGGACTTCCCGTTTCGGCCGTCAAACGATACAGCACGTGCGTTTGGTCATTATTGTCATCATTGTTGTAGTTGAGCTTTCCAGTCAAGCTTTCGTCTGATTCTTTGGTGGTCAGTGTCGGTGGTTGTTGTTGTTGTTGTATTTTGATTCGGTCACTCTCTCTGAGCTCTCGACACAATCCGAAATCGAATAGTTTAATGTCATCACGACAATCAAATCCCACGTTCTCGGGCTTGAGACTTTGCAAGAATAGAGAACGAGTTTGTCAGAATCACTGGCGGAAAGCACAATGTGACAAAATCAAACCCCGAGTTTTTACTTACTCCTGTATCATAATATTATTGCCAAACAAGCAGGCGTAGTGCGGCACACAAATAATCAATGGTGAGCAAACGAGCTACGTAGTGGCAAACCATTCACATCTTTCCATAACAACGAGTTCCGCATCCATACATCAGAAATCCACTTACTCGATAAATGATTTGATGCTGATGCAAATACGTGAGCGCCGAACTCAAATCGTACGCATAGACCAATCGTTCTTCCCACAGCGCATGCAATAACTTGGCCCGTTTTTGTGGCACCACCGCAGTGACGGCGGATTTGTACAATTTGCGTCGTGGTTTCCATGTCTGATAAATGCGCTTTTCGAGTGTATCGTAGAGTCGATCCATGACGAGAAAGTACTGTTCTTTCGTACTGAAGGGATCGCACTGGGAGAGTCCTCGGATTTTGACAATATTGGGATGCTTGAGTGTACACAAGAAGCGTGTTTCAATGGCCATGTCCATCATTCCTTGCAGAAACAGATTGAGATCGCTGCCTGCCACAATGGAATCACTGAGAATCTTGACGGCATAACGGGCATCGGCTTGTGAATATTGGAGTGACTGGAGAATACTTCGACGTTTCTTTTGTTTGGCGCGTAGACAATGTTGGGCGAGGAACCAGCGTGATTTGGATTGGAACATTTTGGCGTCTTCTTCACTGTTGTTGTTGTTGTCATTATGGTGTGTGGAATGAATGATATCGTCCAATGCCTGATCGAGATCCAAATCTTCTTCTTCACTGTGCTGGAACGCCCGTGGCTTGACGGCTTGGACGCGCGTCCCTTTAATGTAAAAGGAACGAATCTCGTAGACCGTACCAAAGCCTCCTTTGCCGAGCACTTTGCCCAATTGCATTTCGTGCTTTTTGAATTTCGGATAGTACTTGTCACTCGACGCTCGATCTTCAATCGACGATTTGCTGGTGCCACCAAACAGCTCCGTGTACAACTTCCACACATGGGCTTTGCCGCGGGCTAGGGTTCGCTCCTTTTGTTGTTCCACCGCCGACAGCACTGAATCACCACCACTAGTACTGATCGATGGTCTCGTCATGGCTGCTCTATCTTATCTTGACTGCTCGATCAAACAACAACAACAACAACAACAACAACAACAAATGAGGCAATAAACAAAGAGCATGGTTTGCACGAGAGAGAAGTCCAAATGCATTTCCTCCTTTCCACGTGCCGGCACCAAAAAGAAGTCCTTAATTCTTTTGGGACGGTAGCTCTTCCGCCAAGCTGATTTCTAGCTAGCTAGAGTTAAGGTGAGCCGGGGTTCCCAAGAACATTGCATCGCATCACGCAGGATACCATAGTAGAGTTGGAGTTAAAAGCTGTGCGAAAGATATTATTGTCCACAATTGACCAACGAGACGAGAACACAACAGCACAACAGCTTCCATTCATTGTGGGAGGCTGAGCTACTTAGTAACTGGATGGCTTGTCGTCACCCCTGCTAGGATTGGTCGCCAAGCAACAAGAGTGGAGAAAGGTACCGTGTGTTGGATTGTGCAAGTGCAACAGTTGGTCAAACTATTACAGACGTATCAACTCCCAACTCTTCTTGTGCTGGCATTTTTTTCTTTTCAAGATGACATTTACAGCTGATAATGATGGATGGAATGCCAAACTAGAAAAGCTCAAGGCATTCAAGGAGAGTCATGGGCACTGTGCAGTTCCCATTACCGGTAGCACTTGTGGACTTGGGAAGTGGGTGAGAATCCAGCGGTATGCCAGAAATTCCATGTGTCCAGCAAGAGTGGACGCCCTCAACAAGCTTGGTTTTTGCTGGGATGCACGTGAGTTTCAGTGGCACTCCAGTTTTGTCCTCTTGCGACAATTCAAGGAGCAAAATGGCCACTGCCGAGTTCCACGTACTAGTGAGAGACAGCTGGGAATGTGGGTCAGGCAACAGAGAGAAACACATCGGCAAGGAAAAATGATCAAGGAACGGTTCCGACGGCTAGAAGAGCTTGGATTTGTATGGAATCCACCAAATGGAAAACGCATCACACAGCAAGCTCTGGAAGAAGAAGACGACGAAGAGGAGGAAGATGAGGAAGAGGAAAGTGACGAAGAAGAAAAAGAACAAGAACGCTCTCAAATTGAGACGCGTTCCATGAAGCGCCCTGCCACAAAAGATACCACGGCAGCTTGGTTGGAAGAACAGGAAGACGACGAGGAAGAGGAAAGTGACGAAGAAACCAAGAAGCCGGCAGCAAGGCTAAATCCTGCTTTTGCAAAGAAGCCCAAGACTGTCCCTTTGAAAGAAGAAGAGGAGGAAGAAGAGGACAACAATGAAGAAACCAAGAAGCCGGCAGCGAGAGAAAAGTCTTCTATTGAAGTCTTCGAAATTTGTTCCGATAAAGAAGAGGAAGCGGATGAACCAGTCGCACCATCGTCGTTGGCCGCATCATCGTCGTTGGCCGTGGCAGGAATGGCCGCAGCAGGAATGCCCGACAACAATTTGGCAGGGATTCAACAAAGGCTCGAAAGAATTGAATTTGCTCTGGGGTTTCCACCGGATAAATACTCGGGGGAACTACTCTATCGCCGCATCAACCTGCTGGAACAGGAGTGTGGCTTGCTCCCCCAGGGACAAGTATCCTTTTTCCAGCAGCTGGATGCCCTAGAAACAATCATTGGGCTTTGATGGTCAATGCACCTGTGTTTTTGTGGAAATTGGCATTGGGTGGTCTCACAGTGCAAGCAACAACGAGTCTCGAGCCAGTGAATGTTGCTTATTGCCTTTGATTGCCTTTGGGAGTGCATCCAGTGTGGTGATGGAATCACGGGGAAAAAATCCAAAATTGGCCCCTATTTTGGCACGTTGCCGCAACCAAGAGGGACCTGGCTGTGATTACAACCAAGGCAAATACTTTGGGGAATCTATATACTTTTAACAATGAGTAGATACGGTACCATTATCATTATCCTGCTATTATTGAAACGTCTTGTTGTAGTTGCAGCTGTAATTCGACTTGGCTTGATTCTCCGCCGTTGGTTTTCGTGTCGGTACCATGGCAGCCGCATGAATCCATCAGTTGACACGATGAGAGAGTAGTCATCGTCGTCGCCGTTGCCATTCTTCTCGTCGTGAAGATCACCGAGCGGAGATAAAAGAGATCCGAGAGATACAGTAACAGCGTCCTTTCGTCGACGACTCCGCAGTTGAATTCTGCAGCAACAAACACAGAGCATGTCAATTTTTGTTTAACTGGAAGCAGGTCAATTTCGATGATTGCAACGCTGCTCGACCACTTGTCCGTGTACCAGTAGGCCGAGAAGTCAAACTCCAAAAGGAGGAGCCGAGCCGTAGAATTGGTGCTCCTACCGCTGGCTTGGGTCGTACGGTTCCCTATCGTTTCGTTGTTGTCCCTTAATTCTTTGTTGTTGTTGTTGTTGTTGTCGGCTTACTAGTGGTAGTGCGTCGCTTCGGTCGTTGTTGACCTGGCAAATGCGTAGGGATCTTGGCGCTCCGATCATTTCGATTTTCATTTTGAGTTGTTCCCGTTTGCCAAAGAGAAACGATGACGATCTCCATTTTGATTTTTGATGTTGACACCTTGCCGATTTTGAGTTGGTCTTGCCAAAGTGAATTGAAACGATTTGCATGAAACGACGTTCGTTGCCTCAAGCAAAGCTCTTTTTCTCTCTCAACTCTCAAACACAACTCACTTTCTTCTTCCAATGCATGACGATGACACCTTTGCCGGTGCTGCTTGCAGGAGAGTGACTGGGCGTCCACTCTGTGTGGGGTCCACTTGGCACTCTTCGCCGGCAATGGTGTTGTCTTGCGGTGGTTCCAGTGGGTTGGTTCGTCCTCGTGCAAGGGTAAGTCGATGTGTCCTGTCTTTTGTGCCATTGCTTCACGGTCGTCGACCGTTGCCGCCTTATCCCCTTTAGTTCCCAGCGTAGGTCTTGACAATGGCGCTTGCTTTGGCCGTTCGTGTTCGAGTGACAGACGTCCATTCATCATCAAGCCGGCCCCGGTTCATTCATCAAGACAATCAAGACGACGCGTCAAGAATCCCACGTCATATCTGGTCGGTCGGTCGGTCGTTTGTCGGCGGTTGTCGGCTAGTGCTACGTGACCCTTGGATCTGATTGTGCCAGCTTGCGTCTCTTGCAAGTCTTCTTCTTCCTCTCCAAGACATGCATGACGATGACACCTTTGTCGGTGCTGCTTGCAGCTGCTTTATGCCTAGAAGAAGAGTGAATAGGCGGCCATTTCATGAGTCCGTTCACCTCACTCTTCGCCGACAATGGTGTCGTCTTGCGGTGGTTCCTTTGTTGGGGTGGTTCGTCCTCGTGCAATCGTTGGAAACGGAGTCGTTTCATGCTTCAGTCTCATCAACCATCATCATCATCATCACAACAGGTACGGTCCACGAGTACGCATGCATGCATGTCATTAGTAGTTCTTTACTCTTTTGAGTCAGCATTCGTGTTGGAAGCTTCCAGGTTCACTCGAGAGTGTGTTCCTGATTGTCTTCGCTGAACAAAAGTGACATGCAGTGCATGCGGCAAAATGGTGCTTTGCTCTTCATTTTGCTCTCAGTTCAAGTCTCACCATCCCTTGTTGCCCTTGCTCTTCTTAAAATTCGTTAGGTGCATGCACAAGCTCAAAAGGCACCGGTAGTCTACCATCGTCCCCTCTCTCATTGGACCGTCGTCTTAGCTACCGCACCGTGATCTTTCGGAAGGGTTGCCGTTGCGGTTGTTGACGGTTGCGGTTGTTGACCGTTGCGGTTGTTGACCGTTGCCGTTGCGGTTGTTGCGGTTGCACGTTTCGCGTTTAAACCGACGAAGCTGGTACACAAGTGGGTTCCAGAGTTCTTCTTTGTCTCTTGGGCTGGTCGGGCTCAAGACTTCTTTCTTTTGATGTTCAACCTCTTTTCGCTGGTTCCTTTGTTTCGGTGGATCTTCCTTTTTCTTTTGCGGTGACGGTGACGGTTGCACTTGGCTCTTCCTATGCCTATCCTTGTGCGGTGCATCTTCCCTTTCCTTTTCGATGGCTCTTCCTTTTTCCTGTTTGGCTCCCTCTTGGCCCCCTCTTGGCCCTGTTCCCTTTGGCAATGTCCCTGTTGGTGGTTGGTTGGACTTGTCCCTTCCTGGCTGCCTGATTGATTCTCAACTCAACGCCCAGTTCCTGCTGCTTGCTGATGTTGGTGGTCCCTGTGGCGGTTTCCTGTGGTGGTTCCTGCTGCTTGCTGTGTTGGTGGTCCTGTGGGGTTCCTGTGGTTCGGTTCTGTTTTGGTCGCCTAGTGCTCCTTGACTAGTGCTCTATGGCCCTTGGATTTGATCGAAAGTCTCTTAGGAGGTTCCAATTTCGACATGATGATCCAAGAGTACTACAACCTTGTCCCTGTTGGTGGTCCCTGTGGTGGTCCCTCTGGGGTTCCTGTGGGTTGCCTGTGGTGGTTCTGCTGCTGTTGTGGTTCCTGTGGTTTGTTGGGTCCCTGTGGCGGTGCCTGTGGTGGTTCCTGCTGCTGTGGTGGTTTCTGTGGTTTTGTTGGTTGCCTAGTGCTCCATGACTAGTGCTCTATGGCCCTGGATTTGTCGAAAGTCTCTTGGAGTTCCAATTTCGACATGATGATCCAAGAGTACTACACCTTGTCCCTGTTGGTGTCCCTGTTGGTGGTCCCTCTGGAGGTTCCTGTGGCGGTGCCGTGGGTTTCCTGCTGCTGTTGGTGGTTCCTGTGGTTTGTTGTCCCTGTGGCGGTGCCTTGTGTGTTCCTGCTTGCTGTTGGTGGTTCCTGTGGTTTGTTGGTCCCTGTGGCGGTGCCTGTGGTGGTTCCTGCTGCTGTTGGTGGTGGTTCCTGCTGCTGTTGGTGGTTCCTGTGGTTTGGTTGGTTGGTCGCCTAGTGCTCCATGACTAGTGCTCTATGGCCCTTGGATTTGATCGAAAGTCTCTTAGGAGGTTCCAATTTCGACATGATGATCCAAGAGTTCTACAACCTTGTCCCTGTTGGTGGTCCCTGTGGTAGTCCCTGCTGCTGCTTGCTGATGTTGGTGGTCCCTGTGGTGACCCTTCGATCTGGCTGGCTGGTCGTGTTCGTCGAGCTCAAGTTCACTCTTAGTTAGATAGCTTAAGTCTCACACTTCTTCTCTCTCTTGACTTGCGGAAGCCAGGTTGCGGAGATCTTCTTTGTCTTTTGGGCTGGTCGTCTCAGTCAAGACTTGTGTCCATGTCAGAGGAATCAAGGTCGGCGCATCAACTCAAGTCGGGCTCAGTTCTTTTGGTGTCTGCTTCTTCCTTTGGGTCAGCTTCCGCCTTCCGCTTCCAGATCGACGGGGGTTGGGTGTCCTTTGCCAGGCACTGACACCAGACCGCCAGCGATTGCCGTCCTTGCATCATCAGATACCTTGAGCCGATGCCTTCTCACCGTCTTCTTCGTCATCATTTGGTGCCCTCAGCCTGACTCGTCACCGTTTGCTTTGATCAGACAAACTAAGCGGGCGGAGCCGCTGCCGACGACAACGAGGCTCTTGCTCTTCCTCTTCCCGGTGGTCAGTCGGTTGGCTGGTTCCTTGTCTCCCCTTGGATCTGCCTGGCTGGTTGTGGCGTCGAGCTCATGTTCACTCTTAGAATAGCTTAAGTCTCACACATCTTCTCTCGCTTGACCTGCTGAAGCCAGAGTTCTTCTTTCTCAAGATTTGTGCAAGTGGGGATGACTGTCGCTGCTTCTGATCGAACCAAACCTACCACTGCACCTTGGATTCCTCCAATCCTTCCACACCCGTGGACAATCCAGAGTCAAGCACCGTTCTTGGAAACGGGCGCATCAGGCCTCCACAGAAGCCCATCCTTGCCAACTGTCCCAGTTGGCCTTGGCAACTTTCGAGCTACGTTCTCTACAATTCATCGACGACAGTGATGATGCCTTTTCGGTGCTCCGAGTCCTTTGAGGGAGTGGTCCTGTGTTCAGTGAAGATGGGAAACCTGCAACCTGCCATATGAAAGCTGGGGGGTCTTTGAAGAGAGTCCCAGTGGAAGTTTGGCCAGGCAGCAAAAGGCAGTGCTTCCTTCTTGTTTTTCAGTCAAGTCTCCTACCTCGGTGACATTTAGTAGTTCTTTGCTCTAACGAGCCAGCATTCGTGTTGGAAGGGTCGGGGTTCGCTCGAGAGTGTGTTCCCCAACTTCTTCGCTGAACCAAAGTGTTTGGTGGTTCCTGCGGTTGTGGACCAGTGGAAATTGGTTCACTTTTGGCAACGCTCGTTTCGCTTGTCGATCTTTCACAATCGCTCGAGGATGCAACTTGTTCCGCAGTTGCCGGCTTGTTGTTAACAGTACTACGCATAGCAGAGGTAGCAATAGCGGTCTCGTTGTCTTGCGGAAGCAGCTTTGCTGATCGCATCCTTCCATTGTGAGGATAATGATCCGAGATCACGAAGATCCGAGATAGATAACAGCGGCAACTGGTTCCGTTGTTGTGTTTCTTCGTGGTAGCCTCAGAGCAAAACGCTGCTCGACATCAGCAGTCGCTCCTCACCATTTGCAACCATCCTGACGTAAGACGTGAAAAGTTGTCCGTGCAGGGTTAGATTTTGGGCGTATACTGTTTTGGGGCTCTTCCGCTGCACCGGCCAAAGCGAACTAGCTAGAGTTGGAGTTGTAAGTAGCTGTGCGAAAGGAAGCGACCAATGGATGTTGCCTGGCTGCCTGCCTTTGGCTCTAGCTAGCTAGTATGTTGCTCTTCCACCACATTTGGAGTTGGCTTACTCTATAGTATCAGCATTATGTTTCTCTTGCTGTCATCACATGTGGAGCCTTGGAAGCAAGAAAAGTGGATCTTTCCACAGCCTTGTAGCGGGGATGTACAAGGATTCTGGCAAGTACTAGTACTTCTTCCCATGTTGCCTGCTGGCTACGAGTCGAGTCTATGGAGCTAGCTCGTAGGCTCCAGCTAGCTAGAGCTAGCAAGAGATAGGAGCCATAGGTTGCCGTGTTCCCGTCACCATTTCGGGGTGCTGTAAACTGTGATTGCGCTTTGGTCGGATGCTTGCTACTGGACCGAAGGATGATCAGCCCTGCGGATACCGGTTCTCAAAAGACTACATGCCCTCACCAAATTCGCCGTCTCAATCAGGGCGTGGTACTCACACTGTTTTAACATGTGAGTATGGGTACTGAGTAGTACTCACAATTCCAAAGTCAAGTGAGTATGGGTACTGGGTAATACTCACAATTCCCAGGGTCAAGTGAGTACGGGTATCATGTGAGTACAGGTACTTTGTGGGTACTATAGAGTACTCACTGAGTACTCATAAATCAATTACTTAGGGAAATTATCTAGGTTTTTCTAGTTCTGGGCTGGGGCTCATCAATCTTGTTGTAAAGGTTCACCATGGCATCAATATCACTGTCATAATCCTCCTCTTAACATCTGCTGGCAGTTAGCTTGAGTAGATCCTTGGTCCTAATGACTCACCGAGTACTCACCTAGTACTCACTGGTACTCACTTCAAAGTACTCACCGAGACTCAAAAAGTACTCAAAATCCGGAGTCATGTGAGTAAGGGTACTGAGTAATACTCACATTTTCTGAGGTCGTGTGAGTATGGGTACTGAGTAATAAACTCAGTAGCCAGTACCCGTACTCACATCGAGTACACCCAGCGTGTATTTCATGTGAGTCCCCACACCTGGGTCTCAATGTCTGATGAAAGTTAGTGGACATGGTTAACTAAAGATCTCAAGAGCCGCCATTCCAAGTTCCAAATGGTTATGTA